ACTGAGATCTGAAGGACTTATGTTTCCCAATTAGGAGCATAGTGCCCAGATACTGTGGGTAGCTCACATAAGTCCTCTTAAAGGCTGCCTTACAGGGGACTTTTCAAAGGAGAAGGAATTGGATTTGTGCCAGCCGCAGTTCCTCACAAGAGGGGGTGTGAAAGAGGTTTGTTTAAAAAGCTGTATCTGCCTTTTTGGCCACCAGACATCTGGTCCCATCTGAGCTGCAAAACTCTGTGCTGAAGCAGCAAAACAACAGTATTATAAAAGCCAAGAGAGTGAAAGCAATTTTCAGGCAGACTTCGTTTCTGCCAGTACAAAGCAAATTCCAGTGCTCACGCTTGTAGGACTGAAGGGACTATAATAGTAAGAGCTCTGGAGTGGGAAGCAAAGTTATCAGAGTGTGTTGTATGGTGGGGCAGGTAGAGCCATGGGGATTCAGACACTCATGTGTGTATGTAACTGTTATATGTTAATTAAAGAGACTAAAGGAAACAAGTGTTCTGTACTAGATGCATGAATTATAAATCTTACAGGATCTTTAAAATCCTTACAAGAAAGGCTACAAACTCCATTTAGAGATGCTATTTTGCCAGTCTCCTCTAGTGCTTGCCATTTGCCCCCACCCAGGTACTGCTGAATGCCACGATGAGCAAAGAAACAAATCCCTTAATTCAGTGGCAGAGGGAGATCACCTCCCTGCCTTCACCCCAAGCTCCTCGGTTCCTCACAACCATAGCTCCATTCTGGTGCTTCCCCTAATCTGGGCCTCGGGCTCATCCCCCACCTTGCTTGCCCCTAGTTATGCTGCTGGCAGCCACCACCCAGAACATATCCGTGAGGAGGCAGATAAGTAGACTCAGATGGAGCTGAACTCAGCACTACCTCATTGACCAAAGTACCCTACAATCTAACCCATAAAAGAAGTTCCTTCCTCACCTCTGTGAGAGGGGGTCATGTCCTAAACTACCAGAGCTGATATCTTATGTAACTTTTTGTTTCTGTGCTTTACCACTTGCTGGTTTTATATGCATAACTCTGGATGTTCTCATTATCTACAGACATGCTCAGTCCTCCTTCCACTTCTGCCAAGCTCCTGGACACCTTCACCTCAATGACATCTGGTGGTGGCTTCCAGAGGCCATTCTATAAACGTATTCTGTACACCTATGCCCATTCCTCCACTTCTGATGTGCTGCTGGGGAGGGGGAGGATAGAGGGGGAGATGGGCACCACTTGAGCCTTTATAAACCAAGAGGCATAATTTTGTTTTTGGTGAATTGTCCCCCCCACCGTAGGAGGAGATCAAATGGAACTTGAAAACACAAAGGGACAAAGGCACTGGGTAAAGTGCATATCACAAGTTTATTTTTCTGCACAAACAAATGTAAAGTGACTGTAAATTGAAAAAACAAAACAGAAAAGAAAAATATTTCCATACAGAAGCCAAATGCCTTTTCCCTGCAGGATCCCAGCTCCTCATAGACAGTCCTGCCTGTGGGCTCCCTTCTCAGAGCACCAGCAAGCCTCTTTCCAGAAGCAGCAGGGAACTGCTGTACCATGTGGGGAGTGGGGAAGGGAAATGTAGCAAAGGGGCAATCCTGGGTTATACTGGGCTACTGGCTGATGATGAGAGAATGGGAAGACAGATGAGGTTGCTCCTAAGGGTGTCACTGTGTGGCACTGCCTTGGCCAGCAGGGATGTGACAAGGAGATGACACTGCTGGTCTCCCCAGGACACAGGTGTAGCTGCAGACAGATTGTCATCTAGCAAGATATTCTCCAGACCCCATTGCCATCCTGCCCCCAGCATCAAGTCTGCTAGGTCCAATGTACTCTGTCTCAGAAGAGACATGGGGAGGTGAGTCCCATTGGAGAACTGCCTGGCTCAGCAGGGATGGGATTTCAGGACCTATGCCCAAGCAAGAGCTCCTCCACTCACCTTTAGGCACAGCCTACTGTCACCTTCACACTGACCCACAAGGCTCTGGGCTCCTTTCCTAAATCTCTGTGGTAGTCTTTTGTCCTAGTCTCACTCCTGCTCTTAAACCTTTGCTGCTCATGAGGTGTGTGTGTGGGGGGAGGGAGGAGCAGGAGCAGGAATCAAATGCAGCTGCTTCTTCACACCAGATTCTTATAAGATTTTTCCAGCTCAGCTATTGCATTAACTCAAAGCATCAGCTGGTGCATACCATAGCTGGGTCTCTGATAGATATTCAGAATATGAGAACAGACACTCAAAAGCCTAATAGCTTTCCTGCCTCACAGTCCCTGAAGTTTCATAACCTACAAGCATGCTGAAGACAGAACACATCTAAAACAGGATCCCTGTGGATGTCTCCAAATGCTTAGTGAAGGGTTTGGCCTAGCTCTGCGACCTGTGACAGAGCAGGAAGGGGAGCCATAATTTCATGTACAACTCAGCTTCTCCAACAACTGTGCAATTCTGAAATGCAGACTGCCTCAAGGCAAGCTTCCCCACTCCATGCTGCAAATAGACTTCTCAGCTCCTGATCTGCAACACCCTTGATGACCCAGCTGCAGGCCTTTCCTAAGATGATGCTGGCAGAGCTGGCTAAAGCCAGCAATAGTGCAGTTAGGCACAGTGTACACTTCTTTCCTGCCCCATGCAGAATTCAGCTGGTGTAACTCAGCCCTGGCGTGCACCTCAGGCCTGTTCCACCTCTGGGCTTTACTCTCAGCTTCCCTAGCATACCTGACCTACAGTGCTTGCCTGCTACTCTAGTCCTCTCCTGAACAAAGGCTGACAATTATGCCAAATGGTGGAGACATTAGGAACTGATGTGAACAAGACTGGGCAAGGCTGAGCACCATCCAACTCCTTCAGCTTTGGTTCTCAGAGGATTTCCATGGTGGACTGAAAACCTTTCTCTACATTACAGTCCCCACCTTCCCAGTTCTCAGCACCGACATATTGTTCCATATTATTTTCTCCAGCCAGGCTGAATGTTACTGATATTTTTTATTCCCATCCATCAACTTCAATGTGACTGAGCAAAGTCTTTCATTCCATTTGGTTTCTGTGATCTACTATTCCCTGAGTATTCAACCATGACATTTTGGCTCTTACCTACAGCACTTCAGGTTGCCTGGAAGTCTCCCACCCAAAAACAAACCAGACCTTGGACTGCTTAGCATCCAAAATTGGACACAGTCAGTCCAGGCAAGCTATAGAGAATTAGGTTTGATTTAGCCCTCCCCTAACCCTGGTTTCACTTTCCTTTATGTGTCAAAGTGGACCTTGACACTGTCTTTTCCTGTGAGCATCTCTCCTCTGGATAATTGTCCAATTGCCAGCAAGTGTTAGGGTAAGTGCCAGAGTGCGGGTTTTTTTCATTCCAGTTACCTTTGGTACCATCTTGAGTGTTATCCTCAATACTATTCTGTCTACACACAAAACTCAGTGGTGCTTTTGGTAAAGCTCAGGCAGCCTGGCTGGGACTACATGCTAAAACCCAAAGAAGGCTTTTGCTGGGACTACCTATTCAGCACTGTGAAATCAAGCTAGAGATTAAGCAGTTGGAGTGCTGATAAACCTCCAGTGCCTTCCCACAATCCTGTATCCAGTGATGTTTCCCAATTGTCTCAGTGCTAGTTAAAGCACCTCACTTCACTAATCTGCACCTTTGCTCATTAAATACAGGCCCGTTCAGAAGTTTCCTCAGCCCCTTCTAGATGCTGCTGATTTGGTGAGTGAAGTGTGGGTGCCCCTCCATGCAATCTTTTCCTCCTGCTTTAGAGACTAACGGAATAGCGCAGCAAACACCAGGCCTGTGGCCCAGCTGGACTGGGAGGCTTCTGAATGGAGCTGGTGTGAGGGTCCACTTATTATACTTTGACTTCACTCTATTTCCAATGCTAAGGCCGCTACAAGGTTCCAGTAAGATTTCCTATCCTGCCCATCAGGAAAGTGTATTCCAGGATGCTCCAGCCCTTCCCTGGCAAGCATGGGATGCTGGAGATCTAGCACCTCCATGCCCACAGTGCCTCTGTGCAGCATGAGTTTGTATTTAGCCAAGTGCTGTATCAGCCACACTCCGTGCAGGCCTGGCTCGACTGGCCTGAAGGGACAATGCTGTCATGTGTTGTCCTTTAAGCTCGCTCCAAAGCTTTTGATCAGAGCACTGGACTCGGCCTAAAGAAAGGAACAAGTCTGGTGACAGGACACCTGAATGACGAGAGTATGACCTGGGCTGATTCTTACTCCTTGGGCTGTAGCAAAGGGAATCCAGTGGTGGTGACCCCTTCCCTCCCCACTTGGCTGTGCTGCAGCACACCTGGGGTGAGTGCCACAGAGGAATGCTTTCCCCCACATGCAGGATCAGGATGTGAAAGCAGCTGAAGCAAGAAGGGGGAGCAAGGTGAAAGGTGAGAAGGTAGGCTGCAGGGGCATACACAAGTCTGAGCTTGACATAGACATGTGTGCGCACACACGCACGCATATACATCTAGGCACGTGCTGGACTTACTGATTCCCTGATTCCCTGCCTGGGGGAAGGGAGTACTCCCTTGTCATATGCACTTAGT